TCCCATGTCTGTGTGCATGTGTGTGTGCATGCATACACCATGTGTGGAACAGAACCTGTGTAGTCTAGTAGAAAAAGCTGGGCTCTGGAATGAGACCAATTTGTAAAGCCAGGCTCTGTCCTTACTTTAACCTTTAGGAGGTTCCTAATGTCTCTGAGCCTCAGGCTCAGTCACCTATAAAATGGATCTGTTTTATAGCCAGCTTTATAGATCAAGGACAAATGTTAACAAGAGCTACACAAAGCCCTTAAGCTTAACGCCCGGCTTACAGCAGAATTCAGTAAACAGCAGCTATCAGGACTAGGCAGTAGGAAAGTTGAGAGGCCAAAGCCTTTTGCTCTCAGAAGCTTGAATGTGTTAAGATCAGGCTTCCAACCTGTGCTCTGAGCTCTACCAAAGTGAAATCTGCAGAGTGGGTCCCAGGGTGGCCTTTCTCTTGGAAAGGGAAACAGGAGGTCCCAGCTCCAACTGCTAAAAATAGGTGATGCCAACAGGCTTTGACAGTTGCTTCAGGGCTGGGCAAGACACTATGGAAACCAGGCCTGGCTATTTTCAGGGAGCTGGAGCTATAAGCTAGGCATACAGAGAGTCATGCCAAGAGCTCTGGCACTGCCAGTCCTCTGATTCTCACATCAAGCTGGTATGGATATTTGTAGGAGCCTCAATTATGGAGCCATAAGCCAATGGCCAAGTAAACTACTCTTGGTTTCCAGTTGACCCCAATCTCCTTACAAATCCTTCCTCTGATACCCAATCACTTTGCAGAAACTGCCCAAATCAATGAAATCAGCAGCCACCTCAGCAGATACTCCCAAAGGGCTCGAGTTTAAATCTGCTAAAGTTTTCCTCCCCTTCTCAGGGGGTTTACCTTAATGACTTTGTTTTTCCCTCAGTTTGCCCAGCTAAGGAGAGGAGACTATTGTCTGGCTATGGTTTGTCCCTAAAGGGGAGTAAGCTGGAAGCTTACACCGAGGTTGGTGGTGCTGAGAAACTTTAACAGGTGGTCTAATGGAAGGAAATTAGGTTATGGAGGCTCCACCCTCATCATGCCTGTCTTGGGGGAATGGTCAGGTCTATAGAGATTGGGTTCCATCTCAAGTGAGTAGACTATTCTAAAGCTAAGCCATCCCCATATGTGGCCCCTTCTGCATGCAACTTATTCCTTTTCTTTCCGTCATGTTACCATGCAGTTCAAAAGCTGACCAAATGGGGCCACAGGATATTGGACCTGTATCTTCTAAAACTATGAGCTATATAGACCTATATAAAGCTGTATAAAGTAAGGTACTTGGTTATTGCCACAAAATTGATTAAGACAAAGACTCACAGTTCATGTTCCAGACTATAAAACCTTTCCAGTTCCACTAACTCTCTTCAATTTCCCGGTAAAATAGATGTTACTACTCCACTTTACACTTAGGAACCTTGAACTCAAGGACCTAGTGTAGTAGGACAAGCACGTACACCTGGAATTGCCTCAGTAGGAGTCTAACCTGTGCTACTCACTAAGAGACTTGCCAAGATCTAACAGATGGAAAGATCTGATCGTTGTATCTCCTAAGGTTCCTTGTGAGGCTAAATAAAAATGTGCCCGGTTGTGTGCCTTGCCCCCAAGAGTTATGAAAAGGAAGAAGTCTGAAGTCTTAGGATGTAGTATAGGATCTAGGATCAAGTTCTGTTTTATATAGGCAAACAAGGAACTTGATGCCATGTGAACAAACTGCCAAAAGAAGGAAATAGGGTCTGAAGTCTGCCTAGAGAAAAAATGCTTTGGGAACTCAGGGCATGCTTTGTAATTGCTGGGAGGGTGGCGGCGGAGAGGGTGCGAGATTATCTTGGAAGTATGGACAGATACGTAAGCAGAGTAAAAAAAAAAAAAGGGCCTGTCAAAGGGAGGATCAGCACACACAATGCCATAGATAAGAGCAAGCATCAGTTAAGATGCAGCTAAGAAATCAAACACTGGGAGGAAGGATGGGTTCTGGGTGTGCTGCCACTGCTGCACATCTTCTAACTTAAGGGCAGGCTAGGACCCCCACATAGGTCTGTACAGGAGGAAAAATAGTTCACCCCCTAGAGGGAGGTGCTGGAAAGTCTTGAGGACCCACTGAGTCTGAGTACGTGCAGGTGTCTGCCCTGGGAAGGATGCCTGGGTCCTGCTGTGAACATCCCTCCTGTTGTACCATGGCAGGGCACTGGCAGGTAGGAAGGCCTGCTGGCCAAATCAGAGGAGGCTCACGACCAAGATTTTTGTAATGGACTCATATCCATGGATATGAGGGAGGCTGAGTGACTGAGAGTCACCTGAGGATGAGGACATGCCAGCAAAACAACAGGCACTTGGTTCTAACGGCAGAAATGGTGGAGACATTCTTTCTAACTGTAGGAGACTTGGGTACAGGCACACCTTCTTCTTCAAACTCAGTTATGGGCCAGAATTGGAAGAAGACTTGGAGTTCAGGCTTAAGAACTCTAATTTATACACAAGGCAACAGAGGCAAGGGGAAAAGGTGGTTCATAAGATTGGTCAGAGGCAGAGTCAGGAATAGGGTCCAGGGATGACTCTGGGTCGTAGATATCCTAACACAAAACCCACCACAGAGTTGACAGAACACAGAAGGCAGAATGGAGGGATTTTCGGGAAGGCAGAGGGCTGAAGAATATCAGAGACACAGCCATAAGACATTGAGGGCAGGGAGGAGGAGGTAGAGAACAGGTGGGTACAGGTGTAGAAAGGAAACATAGAAGTAGGCAGAGTCCTCTCTCTTAAGCCAGAGACAGAACAGACAGGGAGAAGAAAGGGAAACCTGGATGTGCAGAGCAAGACAGCTCAAGGTGTTCTTGCTTAGTGACTTCAGCCTTTTCAGTAGATGAAGCCAGCTACTAGACAGCCTTTGTAAAGACTAGCCTAGAGGTCTTGGTCATCAATCAGAAAGAAAACCATTGGTATCAAGGCATCAATTAGAGACCAAAAGACTTCAAGGTGCAGTTTGGGGGTTTCCAGTTGGCTGAAATTGTGATCTGATCTGTGCCTTTCTCCAAAAGCCTGGGAAAAGCCACAGAGGAAATCCATGAGCCTGCATCTTAGAGGAAGCCAGAGAACAGGGCAGTAGAACCAAAAGCTGGGTGGGATACATGTTAGGTGGCTGAGGCTTGGAGTAGGTGGGGAGGAAGGCAAGGAAGACACTGGGAGAGGGGGTAAGATGGGAGGGGCCTGTAAGAACCAAGGCCAAGAGAGGGGCCAGAAGAATGAAATCAAGGAACGTTGTCCTGTAACAGGGAATGACAGATTCTAGGATGGTGAGGGGTAACAGGACCAAAGGGAATTTGCTTGAGGTTTGCTCAAATGAAGCTGAAAGGAAAGAGTCTGGAATAAATAATCGGAAAGGTCAGGCACTTGAATCCTGAGGTTGCTGAGAGGAAGAGCCGGAGAAGCAGCTCAACTTCCAGGAAGCAGGACTGGTTAAGAAGGCAGCAGGGATGTGCCTCCCCAGGGCCTAGTAGGCTACAGAGCATCTCCAACTAACAAACAGAAAAGAAATCAGGACCAGCCAATCAAGGAGGCAATAACTATGTTTATGGGGGGCAGGGGGGAGAGGGAATCTGCTGAGCACAGAGAGGAAGTCCTGAGGGTACAGAGGAAGTGGCTGGTGTTGAGAGGATGCATACACCTATGGAGGGTTCCCTTAGGAGGCATTGTAGCCAGGAGCATTTACATCCAGATTAAGTTCTGTCACCTCAGGGCCCATCCTCCCACTGACATTCTCCAGCAGACTCAATTCCCAGAAACCAATTTTGAGCAGCTTTATCTTACAGCTGTCACTTGGAGTCCCCAGGAAGTATCTGGTAAGCATCTTTCAGGCATAAAGAGCTCAAGTCTCAAGCTCAAACTCCAGGACCCCAACTTTCAAGACACTGTCTAACCAAGCATCCTTTTCTGTCTTTTGTCTTTTCTTACCTTCCTCTGCTTAACTATTATTACTATTTTATTTATTTTTGGTGCTACTACAAGAGCTTGAATTCAGGACCTACCACTCTCATTCACTAACGGCTGTTGCTCTATCACTTGAGTTAATCTCCAGTTCCAGCTTTTTACAGGTTAAGTAGAGATAAGAGTCTTAGGATTTGTCCACTCAGGCTAGCTTTGAACTACACAATCCTCATATCTCAGCCTTCTGGGTAAGTAGGATAATAGGCATCAGCCACCAGTGCCTGGCCTTTAATTATTCTCAACTCTAACTGCCACCTGTCATGGTACTCATATCATCTACATTCACTTCTTTATCTACAAGGCATAGAAGAGGGTACAGATTACAATAGGCGTTCAATGAACTGAACTTTAAGACTGTTGAATAAATCACTTTGGGATATCTTGTTGGGAAGGGAAACTATGAAGTCATTCCTGCTTTCAAAACAGGAGTTCTAATCTTTGTGGGGGACACTCATCCCTGAATCTCCATCAGGAGTAGCTTTGCCTCTTGGAAAACAAGGGACATCCAGGCTGATGAGAGCCTGCAAGCTGGTTCTTATGCAATGCTACGGCCTATTCTGATTGCTCCCCATCCCTGCCACCTGCTTGGGACTCAATTGCATTCACATCACTTGCTCCCTACCCAGCCAAACTCCACAAGAAGATGGTAACACAGTCTCTTCTGCTGATTAAAACTAAAAGCAGCACCATGGAGAATTTCTATAATGATATGTCTTCCTCTTCCTACCTACTCTAGAAATGTGCCCATAATGCAACCCTATGCTTAGAAATGTTTCCTGCTATACACTATGCACCAATTCCCCTGGTTTTTGGCCATTTCAAGGATGGGGAGATCCAACAAGCACCACAGATGCGTTTCACCGGAGCACCATCACCACCTGCCAATGCTCATTACTAGAACAATATCACAGTTTCATTCCTATTTTTCTCCACCAATTTCCAGCAACTGTGGATCTGCAATTAACATGAAAAGCCAATCTGTCCTGAAATGAATCGAAGCAAAACATACCGCGACCTGGGCCGAGTCGAGGAACTGGAGGCCAAAGTAATCTGTTTCCACGAGGTCCAAGTGGTACACGATCTGATCAAACAAATCCTGGCCTTTGGCATGTTTCTGGAAGACAAATGGAGAGATGACAATTTTAGAATATGACGGCTGATTAACTAAAACATTTTTTTAAAACACCACTTCTCTCTATAAATTGCATACATGTGCACAATTGAAAAAAATTAACTGGCCTTATTTAGATGAAACACAAACATCTAATAAGAGAAATTCAAATGCGGTGTAACAGTATGGTGTTAAATACCCAGATAAGCACTGTTAAGCCTTGCTAGTCTCTCCTCTCCCTCCCAGAAAAAAAAGCTTTTTGGGAGAAAGCCTATATCAGGCAATTCTGAGGAGAGGTATGCAGGGCTCCGCTCCAGCACAGCAGAATCCCCACCACCTCCCAGTGAGGAGGCCTCAGGCAATCTGCTACTCCTGATGAATTGACTCTTTCTGGCCTGTGGCCCCACAGAGCAAGTGGAAAACAAAAGACCACTATAGATCGCAGTTCAGAGAGCTGGAAGTCAACTCCAAATTCCAAGTACACTGCAAGGTTCTGACTAAATGAGATGTGAGCACAAAAGAAGAGTCCAGACACAGAGGCTGCACCTGCCGCTTTTAGCAGGTGTGACCTGGAACAGGTATTTCTCCTACTGCTTCTCTTCCTGGCCTCCTCCTGTTCCTTGGGAAGATTAAGAAGATCTCAAATGAGAGCCACTCCAGGAAGACTAAAGTCTCTGACACACAAAAGGCTTATTAGTACTCACTCAAGCAGAACACAGGCATAAGACTCAGAGAAAAAGTAAGCATATCATTGCAAATATGCTAAAATCTGAGTATCAAAGAAAATAAACAATAACTTCATTCACTGACTAGAGAACCAAGTCTCTATTATAAAACCTGGTATGTGAAAGCACCCAGCTCTGACATGACCTTTAATTGAAGCATGGGGAACCAAAAATGTAGCAGCAGCATATACAGAGGTTAACTAAAAATGGATCACAGGCCTAACTGTGAGAGTTAAAAACTCCCACATTCTGAGAATATAAAACTCTCAGAACGAAACAGGCCCTACCAGGCATAATGGTATATGCCTATAATCCAGATCTCTGGAGGCGGTAGCAGGATTGTCAGTTCAAGGCCAGTCTGGGCTATAGAGTGAGATGCTGTCTCAAACAAACAACTAAAACCAGATTATTCTAATTCAACAATAAATACCTAATTTTAAAATGATCATAGAACATGTATACATAGTGCACCAAAGATACAGAAACAGCCAATAAAGACAAGAAAATATGCTCAACATAGGCACAATGCTTCATGACCTGTAAGATATGTGTTAGTGAAATGAGTTCCCTTCCCATAGTTTGGTATACCCCTGCCCCTCTCCACAGCTTAGCATGCTCCCTTCCTAGGCAACACTAGGTCCACTTAGTAAAGGCAGTAAATAATCAGTCTCTGCCCCCCTCTACCTTGGGATGGCACTCCTCTGGGGTAGCTACCACCATATAAGGCAATAGGGGCCCCTTAGAGTGACTTTCAGGTCTGGGCAGTTGCAGGACCCTTATCTACTATTTGGACATCAGCCATAAATCCTAGTCCACTATGGTGAAGCCCCTGGCCCCCACGTCCACACCAGGGTCTCTGCCTCCGAGCCCCTTCTAGCCCCTCCTAAACCTCCTAGGTTATATAGGTCACCTCAGACAATAGCCGGTGCTTCTTCCCATTTCTCCCTTGTGAGAAGGGGTCTTGCCGGCCCCTTTCCCGGCAATAAACCTTTCTTTGTTCTCTGTATCTGGATGTCTGCATGGTTCTCTGGCAAAGTCTAATTTACCCTATCAATAAGCACCAAAGTACAAGCAAAAAACAGTCATCAGAGGTAAAACTTTCACACTTCATGGGATAAAAAGTGTCAAAAATGTGTAGACAACCCAGATTAGCAGAAAATTATTGTCAAGCATATACAGTTGTTCTCTCCATATCTGAGGGAGATTGTTTTTACAAGACAATCCAAGAATATCCAAATACTTGGATACTCAAAAATCCCTTCTAGCCGGGTGCTCATGCCTGTAATCCTAGCTACTCAGGAGGCTGAGATCTCAGGATCGCAGTTCAAAACCAGCCCAGGCAGGAAGGTCCTAGAGACTCTTATCTCCAATAAACCACTCAGAAAACTGGAAGTGGTGCTGTGACTCAAGCAATAAAGTGCTAGCCTTGAGCTGAAGAGCTGAGGGACAGTGCCTGGGCCCAGAGTTCAAGCCTCATGACCAACAACAACAACAAAAAAGTCCCTTCTATAAATAGCATATTTGCACAGGCATATCCTCCCATATGCTTTAAATTATCCCTAGATAATCCCTAGGTGTTACTTAACACCTAATACAACATAATACAATATAAATACTAGGTATATAGTTGTTATACTGTTTGGAGAGCAATGACAAAAAAAGTGTGCGTATGTTCAATGGAGATACAAATATTTCTAATAGTTTGGATCCACAGTCATTTGACTATGCGGATATAGAGGTTCAAGTATATCTGATTGGCAACATTATCTAGAATAGAAATAACTATTTCAAAACTTAACAAATACCCAATTAAGAATGGCCATAGGGAATCAGGCATCAGTGGTTCACATTTATAATCCTAGCTACTTAGGAGGCATGGTGGTTGGAAGCCAGCCTGGACAGGAAAGTCTGTGAAACTTTTATTTCCAAGTGACTGCCAAAAAGTGGGAAATGGAGGTGTGGCTCAAGGGACAGTGCCCAAGTCTTGAATTCAAGAATTGATGTGCATGTGCGTGCGCACATGTGTGTGCCCATACATGCATGCGCATACACACACATGTGCACCTACACCCACACCCACAAACGGCCATAGGATATGGGTAGGTAGTTCTCCAAAAATATGCAAACGGCCAATAGACACAGGAAAAGATGCTCCACATCTTTAGTTACTAGGGAAATACAAATAAAAACCACAATCAAGAGACCACTTCATACCTGATGGGATAAAAAGGGAAGACTAAATCTATCTATCTCTATCTATCTATCTATCTATCTATCTATCTATCTATCTATCTATCTATCTATCTATCTTTCTATCTATCTATCTATCTATCTATAATGACACATGCTAGAGAAACTGGAATCTTCATATAGTGCTTATGGCAGTAAAAAAGTGTGCAACCACAGTATGTGAGGAAGCACCCCAGCAGTTTTCAAGTGATTAAACAGTACCATTCCTAGGTATATATCCAAGAGAAATTTTTAAAATGTTAAGTTCATGAAAGAACATCTGTATGGATATTCTTAACAGCCATTATTCATGATCTCCAAAAAGCAGAGACAACCAGAATGTCTGTCAACTGAAGAATAAACCATACACAATATATGCACTTAACAGAGTATTATTTGTCTAGAAAAAAAAAGAAATGAAGCACTTAGGTATCACATAGACGGACCTGGAAAATGCTATGCTTTGGTGAAAGAAGCCAGCTACAAATTGCCACACATTGTATGATCCCACTGTGAGAAATGCCCAGAGTTGGAAAATCCAAACATACAGAAATTAGATTAGTGGCTGCTCTGCACTGGGAGCTGGGGGAAGATGGTTACAGTGAGAGTGGGGTTTTTGCCAATAAAATGTCCTATAATTGCTTGTGGTGACAGATGTACAACTCTGCTAATGCACTAAAAGCCACTGAATTCAGCACACTCCAGACAGGTGAAGTAAATGATGATATGATTTTCAGCAAAGCTATTAAAAATAGTAGGTGAGCCAGTGGCTCATGACAATAATCCTTACAACTTAGAAGGCTGAGATCTGAGGATCACTGTTCCAAGCTAGCCTAAGCAGGAAAGTACATGAAACTCTTATCTCTAATTAAAAACTATCAAAAAAGCCAGAAATAGAGCTACGGCTTAAGTGGTAGAGCACTAAACTAGCCTTGAGCAAAAAAGCTCAGGGACAGTGCCCAGGCCCTGAGTTTAAGTCTTAGGACTGGCACACACTCACACATTCACATGCACACACACCACACACACATACACACACACACACATGCATACACACATGTGGATGGGTGGCATTCTTCTTTATTGAAATAGTCTAACAAATAATTAAAACAAGTGAGGAATACTGAAATATGCCAACAAATCATTGGATAAGACAGATGCAATGTCAATATTTTGTTACTCCAAGCTCAGAACCAAAGAATACTCACAACCCAGAAAATGTGAAAGGCAGCTAGCTTTTGTGTGTCCCCGATGCAGAACTCCCAGCACCCAAGTCACACTTGCTCCACAATGTCCTCTCAGGGAGAAATTCTACAAACTCCCTGGGGCAAAGAATCTAGTTTCGTACTTCAACAAATAGAATAAAGGGAAGAGTAGAGATGAAGTAGGTGTGGGGAAATGTGAGGAAAGGGACTGGGCATCATTAAATTAAATCAGATTTGAAAAAGGACCAAGAGTGATAGTTTGTGTCTGTGATCCCAGCTACTCTAGAGACAGAGATTGAAGGATCACAACTCCAGGCTGGATAGGCAAAAGCAAAAGATCTTCTGAAAAACAAAGGAAAGTAAAAAGGGAGCAGCCTCCTGAGTAGCTAGGAATAAAGGTGTGAGCTACTGGTGCTCAGTCCAACTTTTCTTTAACACTGATTTTTTGGCAGTTGTCGAACAACAAATACGTTTTTAAAAACAACAGCAATAACAGTATTCTGGCACACTTCCTTCTTGCCCCTAACAAGGGATCTTCTGGATATCTTTCCTCTTCCTCTCCAGTTCTGCCACCCTAAGCAACACCTATTATTGTGGCACCAATGCTTTATTAATGGCTTCCCTGATGGGACAGAACTAGTTAAATAAAGCTTTAGCAGCAGGAAAGCAGAAAGAAACAGGCTGGGAAGAGCAAAACACCTGTACTCTGGGCCCAAATAAGCCACCAACTGTGTGACCTTAAGCAATTCATAATTTCCCCAAATCTCTTACCACCAGCCCAGGCTTGTCCCATGGCCAGCTGCTGGTGCGGTGCCCTGCATAAACAGGGCCACAAAACTCATCT